GAGGAGCTGGAGCAGCAGAAGGGGGACAGCGAGAGGCTTGCTGAAGAGTTGTCGTCCTTTTTGTATAAGCGTAATCCTTATTTAGGCGATAATTCTAGAGATATTTCTTCTTCAGCAAATTCTTTCCTTTATTTGCAAGAGTTGCGTGCTGATTTTGATGCTACTGAGTCTGAGTTGCTGGAAATGATATCTGAGGTTAATAGGCTTCAGGGTGTTGTTGAAAATTTTTCATTATTACTTCAGAAATCTAGAGAGTCGGAGCGTTTGTTGAGGCTTCAAAAGAAATCTCAGATTACTACTACACATACAAAAGTTTTCCATGGGGATTGGTCAAAAATTGTTTCCAAGAATATTGATTCTGTTGTGTGCTCATTTTTGCTTGATTCTAGTAAGGCTTGTAACGTTCCTGTTGCTAATGTGACTAATTTTCATTTCTGCCCTAACTAATTCGCTTGAGGCGTGCTATAGAATTTACCTTGTTGTAAAGCTTAAAGAGCTTATTGTAAACTAAAAGGTTTTTGTTTTCATGTCAATTCTCTTGTTTTTCTAACACACATCTGTATGTGGACAAGCTGATTTCTCCCATCTTCGCGCACTTTGTTTACAATGTTATATTTGGTATTAAATGATGATGTAGCCTTGTACATGATGTGCGTTTATTTATTCATGATATTTTTATCAACATTACGTTATTCCTTTTTATACTGATAGGTCGAATACTATTCAGCTACGAGATTCCTACATGCTATACATGCCTAATTCTATAGATAATTTTCTTGTGTCGGATATGGACGTTAGAGATATTTCATAAACTTCTACGCTTCTTGTTTTGAAGCTTTTGTTTGTCCTTCTTTAAATTCTGTTCTGAACGTTCAAAATTTAATTGTATTCTTGTGTTTGATTTGTGACATTTTTTTGTCAAAAAAAGTTTCAATCGAAAAGTTTATGATTTAGTTTTGTTGCGACTGTGTAAGTTTCATCTTTTACTCAATCGTAAATGACCAAGTCCGTTTTGATAACATTTGCTTGTATTACTTCTGGCTTAAGTGAGATATCACGGTTTCCTGGAATTGCGCTATGCAGCTAGATGTATGCTTCTAATGAATTTTTAGTAATGGAAGCGCTTCTAGTCACCCCATCCACTGAGTATAGCTCTTCACAAATGAGTCAGAAAACGGATGAAGAGCATGAGGTAGATTACATTTTATTGACAATATGATTGTTATCATCATTTGAATCACAGCCGTATTCTAATTTAATCTTTTAGATTTTATGCTGTATATTTACGTGCATGTGTTTCATTCTTTCCTTAGCGTATGGGCATAGTGTGAAGAGTATCCTTCTCGCAAATTTAGGATGCAATATGACAGCACGAGGCAATATGTTTCATTGCATTATCTATGTGATTATCATACTCTTTTGGCTTCTGTTTTAGCGTGTAACGAAATACATTATGCGGAAAAAAATGTACCTTTATACGACGTGGTGAGATTTTATTAGATACATGCTCTGCCATTTTTTCATGATTAACATTAATGCAAGAAGGAAGCTGTGAGCGTAATGTATCCTGAAGCATTTTTTTATATTTCGCCGTTTTCTACTTGCTTTTTTGTAAATGCTTCCGCTTTATTTTCTCGCACAAATAAGAAGTGTAAAATCTTTGCAATGCACTTTTTGACAATCAGAGTCCAATATTAAAGGATCAATTTAATGCTAAGCAATACAGATGACTAAATATGAGTTATCATTTGATCGCTTTGTCTCATCTTGATTGTATTATTTTGATAGCTAATTCTGCAAAGACAAAAATTTTAATACACAAAGGGTAAAAATGGCTATATTTTCTTGCTTACGGTGCGGATATATGTATGAATTTGTAGTGTCGAGCAATTACGTTCGAAAGTTGATCACACGCACGGATTATTGTCCGAAGTGTGATCAAACGAAGACCTTCCGGTTTATGAGTTTTGGTGGGATGGTTGGTCAAATGCCTTTTAAACCAGCGGATGTTCCTAGACCGTCGTATGCAACCTTATACTGGAGGAAAAAGGTAAATGGGAAAACAGCAAACCTGCCCTTAGATGAAGTATGCCCAAAGGATCAGTTTTAGTCTTGCGCTTGGGAATCCCCGTAATTAATACGATGCTACTTTACATTGACTTTATTAACGACGTGAAAAGATTCTAGCGTTGCGCGAGCAACACTAGCATTTATTATCTTATTTAGGTGTATTCCTATGGGCTTTTTGGGTTCTGGGCTAACAACTGCCTCAGTCTATTCAGTCGTAAACATTCCTCATGCAGAAATAGTAAAGTTAATTTTGGACCCCGCGAGTTGAATTCACCAAGATGAGTAGGGAAAATTTATACCTACAACGGATTCTGAAACTGTATTGTTCAAGACTTATTTCATGAGCTGAGACCATTGCTTCATGTACTTTTGTCCACCTTCGAATGTACCAATAACATCACGCTGGTTTATTTGTTGTCCCTCGTGTTTTGTCGATTCTTACTATTTCTGGCATTAACCTTGTGTGTGTCTCATAAATGAGCGCGATGCTTTTTTTCTAGAATAACTAAACTTCTGACATTGTGCTACGTTGAACTTTACCGCCGTTCAAAGGCCCGGTATCGCTTTTGTTCTAGGTGTGGAGAATTATTATACGAATCATGTTATTATTGCTACTATGAGATTTTAAGATTAACTGCATTGAATGCCTACTGAGCCAATTTGCATATTTTCTCTCTTTCTTTATCTTCCACATATTTACATTCACAATTTGGTTCTCCATCACTCTGAGCAAGAGTAATATCACGCAAAACTATATTCTTTGCCACAAGAGTTGCAATGGGCTGCATATGTAATGCTGTCTCCCTAATTATACAGGTTGCTGTACTTGCCCTTATTTTGGCGGGCATTCTTCTTGATACGTTTCGCGCAAGGGAATCGGATTCAGAGAGTAAAGCTAGTAATTTTTATATTACCATGTGGGGCATCAAATACAGCCTTTCTTCGTACAAGTACTCTAATACCCCATCAGATTTATGGTCCACATGTTCTAACCGCGTAAATCATTTTAAGATTGCTGCAGCTACAGCTATTATTACCCTTATCATCGCAGCCGTGAGAACTTTGGTAGGGATTTTACAAACCTGCTGCTGTTGTTTCTGTTTTTGTCCTATAGCAGCGTTGCTAAGCGTTGCCGGAAGTGTGCTGGGAGGCATTTCCATGGGCTACATGCTATTTAATTATAAACATAACATGGGCGATGCACCCAAAAAGATTACTAGTATTGTTCCTACACTCAATCCATGCGTTAAACTGGAATCTTATACTGGTCCAGATGGACTGTACACGGCTGGCATGCAGCTAGGACTTGGGTTAAAACTTTTTATTGTGGGTTGCGCATTAAACACATTAAATATTTTGATTCTTTTAATTCCTTTGTAAAGAGCACAATTAAAAGAAATAATCAATTTGATTTATATGTCTTATTACGACCTCTTTCTGCCTAATTTTGCTGTATGTATGCGTGGAACGCTAAGTGGCTGTAAATTTGGTGTTTCTGGGGGGCGAAATCTCTTCGGCGAAAAGTTTTTTTTGGATACATCTGCTAAGTTCACATCCGACGCTTGAGTTTTCCATTTTATCGCTTGACTCGTGTCAGCACACACTTCACGTTTTCTACTTTAAATTGCTGTAGTGCTCGTGTTTTTAAACTTTTCTTTACCTGGAATTATAGATTTTGAAGGACAAATTTTTATTTCAGAAGTAGTGGTGAACAAAAATGAATTCTTTTTTTTTTTTGGAGGTAATCTTAATAATGAAGATTTGTTTTTATTGCTTCTAGCTTTATAAATTACTTCGGAGATGCGCTTTAGGAAAAGTTGGGAATATTTCAACTAAACAAAGAAAAATTGTTATTCTGAAATTCAAATGCACTGGTAAAATTTCGAGAACGCGAAGTGTTACGCGTATAATGTCATAAAGTTATGTAAATTTATGATAATTGTTTTAAAATTAGAAATATGAGTGATACATATGTTCATTCAAATTTATATGTTTATTTATATTTTGATTTGTGTATTTTTGAAGTTTTTTTTCTCTTCTAGAAATGTGGCTTGATGACAGACAAAAATATACCTGGTATTTATACTCTACATTCTGTATGTGAATAGTAAAGGGTACACAGCATTTCTACTAGAGTGACCTTTCGTGAAGAGGAGTTTTATTTTTTAAAAATATCGAATTAGGTTAGTTGAGATTTTTGAATTGATTTCTGAAAAAATTTTAAAAATGCTTTAATGGTATTTGTCTTGTCGTTTTGAGATGAAAGGACATCCTTTTGTCTCATGCAGATTCTGAAGAAATGGTAGCTGGACAAAATATACACTGTTTAAAGAATGGCTTCATTGAAGTGCCTTTATTTTTGATTGTTCTGTTGGTATATCTCCTTTTTATTACTTTTAGGGATTCACAGTTAGTGTATTGGCTTGGCTTTACTTATATAATACAGTAGCAAGAGAAATCACTTCTGAGAGTTATTTCGTGTGTCCAGGCACAAATGCATTCAAAACTGAAAGTTAATTAGGATAAATTTTTCATTTTTTATTGGGCGCATCAATAGGTCCTTATTGCAAATGAACTTGAGGGTACGGTTGCTCATACATATGAAACGGCTTCACTACGATTTGAGTTCGTGATCAGGTTACTTCGGGAATTAAAAAAGATATTTATTAGTTTCTGTGTGAGTAATGCAAGGCCATTTTACTTGTATTGTTTATAAGTATCGATATCAAAGGAGCTATGCTCAAAAAGATAGATACTAGCGTGTGGCTTATCTGTATTGTCTACTTCAATGTTGAGAATTAGGTTCTCATCCTGTGAAGTTTGGCCGAAGTATAAAAATGATGAATCAATGTAGTGGGGAGGCTATTGGTGCACAAGTTTTTCGTCTTTGGCATTGGGTAGTCAATACATTATTTTTATATTATTTGCTTGGGGACTGCTTGTATATCTTGTTGACTTACATTTTCAACGCCTCGAATGATTGAGTAAATGAGAACGATGGTTTCACGGCCTAGTTCAAGATTTTATTCGAATTTGTTTGGATAAAACTGATAAAGGTTGAATAAAAAAACCCTTAGTTCAGCCCTCAAGAAGTTCACTTATTGTTATGTCATCACTCATGCTATTCTAAAGATATTTCCTTGGGGTGGATCAGTCCCAATCGCGCCATTTAGTCCGCTGCTCAAGGACAGAAAATCTCACATCATGAGGCCCTTTTATTTGTTCCCATGATCTCCGTGACATTAAATAATGGTTTT